ACCAGCGCTGGCTCCCGCCGGCTTAGCAGGGCCCCGGGGGGACACGCAGAACCCGGAAGGGCCCGCGACGTCCCCCGGCCGGACGCAGCCTTGGCGCCCGGCCCGCCTCCTGCCGCCGCCCCGCCTGGCGAGAGCTTTAAGACACAGGGTCCGGGATGTGAACTGCGGTAGACTATGTGAGAGTCCAGCGACATAGCCATTACGCTAACTGCTGGTCCCTCCACACGATTCTTTACATAGTAGCCAGGATGCACATAAACTCCATCCCCTCCACGTCAGAAAGCGCCCTCTTGTGGAAATAGAGAAAGTTTGTAAAATTTGTACCTGGACTTCGGCTCCAGAGGGTTTTTTTCAATCTGCCTGCTAACCACGGGCGCTCTGAGCCCAGCCAGCTGTCTGGTGCCGGCAGTCAGAATAGCCGCAAATCTCAAATACCACTGTTTGTAACAGCTAATGCATTTTATCCTCTAAACTGTGAAAGCACTTGACGTGTATCTGAGAAGATGTCTGGCTCGTGACTCAGGAGCCTGGCCAGATTCATAATCAGAAAAAATAATTTTTAATTATTTAAAAGAGTTTTTTTCAGTAGACTTTAAGTGTACAAGCATGTAAGTATTCCATTTTTAGGAAGTAGGAGTTGTTAACATTTTTCATTAAAATAAATGAGACACTGCAAAATGAGAGACAATTCCACGTAAGCTTATGTTTTGTAATATAAAAATACATCAGTACAGGGCCGCCAAGGGGTGTAGTGGTTAAAGGCGCTGGACTCCTGTATGGTCAACCGCAGTTTGAGTCCCATCTGGCGGCTTGCTTTCTTGCTTTCTCTCTCGCTCTCTATCTCTGGTCAAATTGAAATTAACAAATAAATAGATAAATAAAATAAAATAATTCTTTAAAAAATGTATCAGTACCTATAATTTCCTTATCTTCAATATAAAGGGTGAGATCCATATTCAAATTTTACCAATGGTTATGTCGCTGGACTCCCATGTAGTCGACGGTGGTCTGAGTCCCAGACACAGTGGATTAAACTCATGCCAGGCACGTGTGCGTGTGTGCCCAAGATCCGGAGAGGAGAATGGAGAAGGGATTGCAGCGTGGCCACCTTTTTTGGGGGGTGATTTCTTGCTCTCTGTCTCTCTGTCTCTCTCTCTGTCTTTCTGGTGAGCGCATGTGCCCTATAGCAAAAACCTCTTCAAAAAAAAAAAAAAGATTAGAAAAAGTCTTGAGGATATGAGGTAGATAAGTAGACTGAGGTTTGGAAGGGCTAAGATAATCATCCAAGGTCTGTCAGCAGAAGATAATGAAACTCTGAAATATTGAAAGATGTTCATTCTAAACCAAAACACAAGGACTCCAGTTGGTTTGCAGCCTGAGTAGGCATAATTCAGATCTATCCAAACATGTTCATGAGGCTTTTCCATTCTCAGGGGTGTGTGTGTGTGTGTGTGTGTGTGTGTGTGTGTGTGTATGTTTAAAGTTTAGCCTTTTAAAACATTGCTTTAGTTATTTTTATTTATTGTTCTTATTAACTTGACCAGAGGGAGAGAGGGAAAGTGAGAAAGCAAGCCGCCAAGTCTGGGAGTTGAACCGCTGTTGATGATGTGGAAGCCCAGCACCTTAACCACCACACCACCTGCTGGCCTCTTAATTCTCAAGTTTTTAAAAGCAAAAACCACAGGTGGAAGAGGAGAGAGGATTATATCAGATGTCCCAGTTGTTTGGGGACAGTTATCTTTGGCTACCAAGATCAGTGGCAAGAGTGGGGACAGCCTACGTCTAAAGAGAATCAGGGTAGATGTCCTTGCAGAATCATTGCTTGTGTCAGGTTGCAGTGGTCTTTGTGCAAGGTTATGGCTCTGACAGAGTTTGCTACATAGCAGTTCTTGTTAGCAGGCAAGTTAGCATGAAGAAACACTCTGTAGTTTTAGAGTTGACATAAATGTCTTCATTGATTCTGAAAACCTTTTCCAGGTCACAGAGGTAATAACTGGTCAAGTGAGGACTTAGGTTCAGATGGTCTCACTGCAGAGCCAGCACGTGGATGCAGAGCTGCAGAGCTGGTGCTAAGCAGATCATGCTTGAGCAAACTGACGAGAACGGTATAGGTTCACAGAGGCTTTCTGGACATGTGTGAGGTTATCAGTCAGCTGTGTCTCCTTCCCAAACCTAGATCTGTCAGTGAAGGGGCTCTCGGTTTTTAGAGCAAGAGTTCAATAAAAGACATTATCTGGGTACAACGAGGACTCTGGGCAGAGTGTCTGAAACCCTATGATTATTCTGGGACTTACTTGCTGTACCCAAATTCCAGGGACTCTACACTCAAGGCCTCAAGGCTTGTAGCCTGTGGTTTCTTCTCGGGTCAGCCAGCTCCTCTCAAAAGTGAGTCACTCTGATAAATCTGGGGTTAGGAGTTCAGACACCCTCTAAGGTTTGTGCTTCAAAGACCATCAGAGAATGAAGAACACTCACGCTATTTTGACAGCAGGATCTGCACCTGCTTTCTTGATCACACTGTGCAGACACATCCGTGCTCAAATTAGCCATGCTTTGAGTCCTTCCCTGGAGTTTCAGAGTTACTACCATCAAACGTTACATCAGTAGAAAAGTCTCTTTTTGTTATTCTTATGGGTTTCTCAGAGAATTTAATTCTTAAATGACTTGAACTCTAAAAGTGCTTCAATTTAAAATATGACCATCTAAGTGCATCAAAAATCAACGAAACCTTCATTCTGCTTTAATGTCCTCCAAATGAACCTTCCTTGGGGGCAATGACACATACCAAAGGGACACAGCTTTAACTGCTTGCTCATCACTAGTCAGGACTTGCGAGGCTCAGGGCATGAACTCGTTATGGTGGGACTTTACGGCAACGTGGGACGTGGCCTTCCTCTCTTCTTCTTGGCCAACTGTTAAAACATGTTTTTTGTCTTCATTTGGCCATGGGTGCTCTTCTGTGCTGAACTAACTCAGCTTTTCATTCTTTTTAAAGAATTATTTAATTTTATTAATTATTATTATTATTGTATTTTCGACAGGGCATATATACTCACCAAAGAGAGAGAAAGTAAGAAAGTAAGTTGCCAGTCTGGGATTTGATCTGTGGTCAGCCACATGGGAGTTTAGCACCTTTAACCACCATGCCACCTGCTGGCCTCCTGGCTTTTCATACTTAACTAAAACATTTAAAACTTCGTACTGGTCAATGATTAAGTCCTCGTTAGTCCTGTATACTGGATTGTGTGTGTGTGTGTGTGTGTGTGTGTGTGTGTGTGTGATGCTAAAAGTCTTCATTACATAGCCCAGCACAGTGCCTGGTAGTCAATAGAAATAAATTGAGTGCATTGTGTTGAGTCCTGGGAAGTAACTCAGAAAATTTTCTTGTACTATTGGGTTTTAAAAAGTTAGTTGTCCTCTTTTCCTAGAATCATGATCTGAGAGGTTCCGACAGCTACAGAGAGGAGCCAGATCTGCCATTTGATATCCCTCTCGGTTGTGCATTTCCACAATTTCGATCAGCATCTTTCATCCTCTCGTAGAGACCACTGATGTGCAACTCACACTTCTCAGGTGCCCAGCAGAGAACGAAATAACCACAAGGGCTGGAATGGCCTGTGACATTTGCCCAGGTCCCATCATCAAAACTCCAGCTGCCAGAATCCTCTTCTTCCTTTATAGTGGGGACAGGGTCGGTCCCTTCATCCTTCCTGCGCTCTCCGCCCTCTTTCATGCGCTGGGAGCACCAAGTGCCCCCTCCATTGCTATTTTGACATCACTGAATTTCACCTGCTACTAGTATGGTTGTCTCATTTGATCACCCGAGGCAACTGCATTTTCCAAAAATGGCTACAGTATTTTCAGATCAACATTATCCTTCAGGATCTTGAAGATCTTTTGTCAAAAGATTCAGAATTCCCCTGCCCTGGAATATGGGTGAGCCTCTGTGGCAAGAATGTGGGAGAAAGGCTGCTGCATGATTTGTGAGGCTAGGACATTCGAAGAAATAAGGTTTCCATGTTATTCTCTCTTCCTTTTGAGACACACTCCCATAGTCTTGGGAGTCCTGAGTAAATATGTAGGGTGAAGCTGCCATACTGCGGAGACAACACAGAGATAGAATCTCTGAGAGCCCCACCAGTCCCAGTTGTCAGTTTGAGTCCTCCCAGGAGCAACTGCCAGACATGAGAGTAGACAGCCTTCAGATAACCCCAGCTTTGGAGCTGTCCCAGTGATACCTCGTAGACCAAGGAGCTGTCTCCACCAGCTCATTGCAAATTTGTGAGAAGAAATAAAGGATGATGTGTAAAAGTCACTGAATATTGGAGTAATGTTACATGGCTATAGTGACCGACTAGTAAAACACCTTATGGTGGGACCAGCAGATGGTGTTAATGGTTACATTGCTGGACTCCCATGCAATTGACCCTGGTTCAAGTCCTGGACCCAGTGGCTTCAAAGTCATGCTGGGCTTGTGTGCGTGTGTGTGTCTAAAATCCCAAGAGGAGAATGGAGAAGGGGTTGTGGTGTGGCCATCCCCTTTGGGGGGGTGATTTCACACTGTCTCTCTCTCTCTTGTCTCTCTGACAAGTGCCTTATAGCAAATATCTCTCTCTTAAAAAAAAAAACAAAAAACCTTTTGTTATCACCAGGTTCTCACTTTGCTTCTCGTGAGTCTTGCTTCTCCTGTAGCAGTTGCTATGCAGGATTGGGGGAAGGTCCTCCTTCCTACCATTGCCCAGAGTACTTTGCGTCTGGCATTTTAAGCTCTCTTCCCAAGATGCTCACCACCAGCGGAAGTATAGAACAGCTCAGGACTGAGGACACAGCTGTTCCTGCCAGCAGAGACTCTCCAAGTCGACTTTGACCCATTACTCAACAGAACGTTCAACTTTAACTGGTGAGTTATGGATCCAGTGGTACGTCTTCATTTTGTCCCTCGGGGTATCATAAAATAAATCTTCAAACACCTTGTTGAAAACCTTATTTATCACATTTCCTGTTCTCATTTAATGACCTGATAGAAGAGGCAGCTTTACCTACATGACTCATTCCTAATTACCTAGTCTGCTCCTCAAAGTGGCCCCACGACAGGAGGTTCTAAGAAGTCATCTTTTATTTTAAATTAAAGTGTATTATTATTATTGGCAGAATCAAGCGCCCAGTCAAACCACTCTGTATGGTCACTGCCTTCCCTGTATTAGAATCAAAGGTGGCTGGGGGCAGACAGCCTCCTCTGCTGGTACGTTATACACCTGCGTGTGCACTGAGCATCACCACTACTACTGTTTTCCTCGATAGCTTGAGTCCTCATAGCAATGACCAGAAAGTGACTTAAAAAAAAAATCTGGAGCTCCAGGGCTGATTTTATGCTTCAGCTTGTCTCTGCACCACCTAGAGACAGAAATCATGCATTGCCCAGTGGAGGACATTAAAAAAATTACCCTTCCAAACCCTTCAGCTGAGTAACAGATGCTAAATCTCCCTCTCTCTCTTTTTTTTTGGCTTGATTGTTCAAAGACAGACATCCCAGTTGACAATGTTCCTTCAAGAACCCCATGAAGTAGGAATCATCACCATCATTTTGCAGATGGAGAAACTGAGACACAGCTAGTAAGTGGTAGTCCTAGAAATTGAATTTAGCCTGATTCTAAAGCACACATATATGACCACTATGGAACATAAAACCTATTTTCTATATTCTGTCAAAAAGAATATTTGCACTATCAAGGACAGAATGAGTATCAGTAAGAGGAAACAGAAGGCTCAGAGAGAAGAGGTGCTTAATCATCATCACTTTAACTCTTCAAAGAAAATCATGTTTTCAGGACCAGCAGTTAGCATAATGGCTATGTCGCTGAACTCCCGTGTAGTTGACCGCAGTTCGAGTCCTGGACCCGGTGGCTTAAACTCACGCCGGGCACGTGTGCGTGCGTGCCCAAGATCCCGAGAGGAGAATGGAGGAGAAGGGATTGCGGCGTAGCTATCCCCCCTGGGGGGTGATTTCTCGCTTTCTGTCTCTCTGGCGAGCGAATGAGCCCTGTAGCGAAAACCTCTAAAGAAAAGAAAATCATGTTTTCTGGATTGGATACAATTTCAGAATACCAGAGCATATAGAGAAGATTCTAAACAGGTCTATTATTTTAAGGCACTTCAGGGAGAGAGGCTGAAAGGCTGCAGATGGGCGGTCTTTCCTGAAGGGAAGAGCATGACAACTAACACAGGCACCTAGACGTGGAAGTGCTGAGCTCCAAGGACTCCAAAGCAGGTTCACTAGAGTAAGTCATGTCAGACACGCCTCATTTCAACAGGTTGATGGATAACGAGTTCGAAAGACCTCTCGGCATATCATCGTGGTCATGAGAAGAAAAATGGAGGTTGATACAACTTTACACCTGATGTTCTGAAGACCGTCAATCTGAAGAGAGAATTTTAGTGGCAAAATCCAAAAGTAGACTTCTATATTTTTGGTCAGCATTTTTATTCACGGTTTAGAGGAAAATCTTAGGCCTTAGCCAAGACAGCATACACACACGAAGTGGACAGGCACAGACAAGAGTGGATGACTGAAGTGGAGGATCTCAAAACATTGTAACAGGCTGGACCACTGGACCGAACTGGACAAGAGGCAATTTATTAGGGATGAATACAAAGCCCATCACCCCAAAGTGCTCACCAGTTCTTCCTGAGTCAAGGGGTGACCTGGTGCAGCCTCGGGAAGACACTTATAGAGTAGTGCTTAACAACAGAAATATAATGTGAACTTTATGTAATATAAAATTTTCTATTAGCCACATTTCTAAAAGAATGAAAAACCCTCAGGTGAATTTTAATAATATATTGTTTTTAATGCTATATTTTACTGAATACTCGAAATACTACTAAACATGTGATTGATGTAAAAACTGAGATGTTTTATGTTTTTTGCACTAAATTTTGAAAACCCAGTGTGCATTTCACACTTGATAGCACCTCTCAATTAGGCTAGCCACATACGGAGTGCTCAGCAGCCCGGTGTGGCTCCCATCCTGAACGGTGTGGCTTTAGTGTCTGCACTGCCTCTCAGCTCTTCAGACATTACCCTCTCATCATGCCATTCTTGGGCTGGCTGCACTAAAGTTAAACCACTCAAGCATTTCACTTTATTTTTTTAATGAAAAAAGTCTGGGCTCCTTAATCAGTACATAGCTGTAATGGTGCTCACCCCTTGATTATGCTCGCTGGGGCAATTTGGTGACTGAAATACTTGATGTATTTTTTTAAAGTGAGCATTGGGACCAACAGTTGGCATAATGGCTATGTCGCTGGACTCCCATGTGGTCAACCGTGGTTCGAGTCCTGGACCCAGTGGCTTAAACTCACACTAGGCGCATGTATGTGCGTGCCCAAGATCCTGAGAGGAGAATGGAGAAGGAACTGCGGTGTGGCCACCCCCCCGGGTGGGTGATTTCTTACTTTCTGTCTCTGTCTGTCTTTCTGGCAAGCGTACGTGCCCTATAGCAAACACCTCTTCCCCCACCCAAAAAAAGTGAGCATCAGGACCAGCAGATGGTGTGGTGGTTAAAGTGATGAACACTCCCACATGGCTGACCATGGTTTGAATCTCTGGTGGCTTACTTTCTCACTTTCCCTCTCTCTCTCTCTGGTCAAATTAAAATAAATGGATAAATAAAACTAAATAAATTATTATCTTTTTAATGTGAGCACCTACCAAGTGTTCTCCTCTTGTTTATCTCCCAGAGTACTCAGACATGTCTTTTTGTTGAAGGTAGAGGTTAACTGAGCTATGTTTTAGTTCATTCTCTGTTGCTTAATAACTGAATACCTGAGTCTGGGTGATTTATGAACAAAAAGGCTTATTTAACTCAAGTTTTGGAGATCCAAAATCAAGCAGTCACATCTAGCGAGTGACTTCTTGTTGGCAGACTCTGCAGTCTCAACGCAGTGGAAGGCATCACATGGCAAGAGCTTATGTGTGTGGTCTCAATTCCTCTCCTTGTAAGCCCACCAAGAGTCATGCACTGGGACCCCACCATAATGAACTTAATCCTAATCACCTCTCAAGGCCCCACCTTTCAACATCATAGTTCAATTAAGTTTACGCTCTCCTAATACCTTCACAACGCAATCAGATTTCAATACGTGAAATTTGTAGTGGGGTGAGGACACATTCGAACTATAGCAACCTATAGCAGATTATCTTCTTTCAAAGAATAGGATTCTCTTTTCATTCCCATTTCTTTGTTGTTATTTCATCTTATTTTGCTATAGGGCACATGTACTTGCCGAAGAGAGAAAGTGAGAAAGCAGTCCTGGGGAGGATGGCCATGCTGCAATCCCTCCTCCTCCATTTCTTCCTCCCCTCGGGATTTTGGGCATACATGTACACTCACCTGGTGTTTTTCAAGCTGCCAACCTGGGACATGAACCACACAACTGGCCATGTGGGATCTAGCCACCTTAACCACCACACCATAGGCTAGCCCTCCAACTCCGTTTCTAACAATATCCAATATAACTTCTCAAATAGGTTTTAAATTTCCATATTCTACTCCTTTTCCAAAAATGGGATTTCTGGGCACTAACACCCATCTAGGATTTAGGAAGCTAGCAATTTAACAAATAGTATGTGGATGAAGAACAGAAAAAAAAACAAGTAAAATGCCTGGATAACCAACATATACGCTAATCATGCACCGAAACTCAAACTCAAAAATACCAACCTTCATTACCTACATTTTGCAGAACAGAAAACCGAGTTACGAGAGGTTAAGCAGCTTCCCCTCCTAGGGGGTTAGATGAAGTGTGGTTCCAGGCCAGGCATCCTTTCTGCTGCATGACAGCTCACTCTTCCTGGAAGGACATCTTTCCCTGCAGGACTGATACGCGAGAACCTGTTCTCCCTCTCTCTGAGACACTACAGTCTCTCATTACTTAACACTCGTCTTCCAGTGTTTCTCTACTTACAAATGCACGGCAGGTGAGAGTATTCTCTGGAGCGGGATGCTTGGTCTCACCAGTTATGAGTCGTGGGGTCTAACTCAATTTCCTCATCTGTAAATTGGGGATAATGAGTCCCTCATCTCTCTCTATATATAGCATTCAATGAGCTATCCATATAAACCCACAAAAGCTGGCTCAAAGTAGGTTTTTACTCAGCGAATAAAAGGACACATTTTCACTGTTTCCTTGTACCTTGTCTCTGTCTGTCTTTCTGGCAAGCGTACGTGCCCTATAGCAAACACCTCTTCCCCCACCCAAAAAAAGTGAGCATCAGGACCAGCAGATGGTGTGGTGGTTAAAGTGATGAACACTCCCACATGGCTGACCATGGTTTGAATCCCTGGTGGCTTACTTTCTCACTTTCCCTCTCTCTCTCTCTCTGGTCAAATTAAAATAAATGGATAAATAAAACTAAATAAATTATTATCTTTTTAATGTGAGCACCTACCAAGTGTTCTCCTCTTGTTTATCTCCCAGAGTACTCAGACATGTCTTTTTGTTGAAGGTAGAGGTTAACTGAGCTATGTTTTAGTTCATTCTCTGTTGCTTAATAACTGAATACCTGAGTCTGGGTGATTTATGAACAAAAAGGCTTATTTAACTCAAGTTTTGGAGATCCAAAATCAAGCAGTCACATCTAGCGAGTGACTTCTTGTTGGCAGACTCTGCAGTCTCAACGCAGTGGAAGGCATCACATGGCAAGAGCTTATGTGTGTGGTCTCAATTCCTCTCCTTGTAAGCCCACCAAGAGTCATGCACTGGGACCCCACCATAATGAACTTAATCCTAATCACCTCTCAAGGCCCCACCTTTCAACATCATAGTTCAATTAAGTTTACGCTCTCCTAATACCTTCACAACGCAATCAGATTTCAATACGTGAAATTTGTAGTGGGGTGAGGACACATTCGAACTATAGCAACCTATAGCAGATTATCTTCTTTCAAAGAATAGGATTCTCTTTTCATTCCCATTTCTTTGTTGTTATTTCATCTTATTTTGCTATAGGGCACATGTACTTGCCGAAGAGAGAAAGTGAGAAAGCAGTCCTGGGGAGGATGGCCATGCTGCAATCCCTCCTCCTCCATTTCTTCCTCCCCTCGGGATTTTGGGCATACATGTACACTCACCTGGTGTTTTTCAAGCTGCCAACCTGGGACATGAACCACACAACTGGCCATGTGGGATCTAGCCACCTTAACCACCACACCATAGGCTAGCCCTCCAACTCCGTTTCTAACAATATCCAATATAACTTCTCAAATAGGTTTTAAATTTCCATATTCTACTCCTTTTCCAAAAATGGGATTTCTGGGCACTAACACCCATCTAGGATTTAGGAAGCTAGCAATTTAACAAATAGTATGTGGATGAAGAACAGAAAAAAAAACAAGTAAAATGCCTGGATAACCAACATATACGCTAATCATGCACCGAAACTCAAACTCAAAAATACCAACCTTCATTACCTACATTTTGCAGAACAGAAAACCGAGTTACGAGAGGTTAAGCAGCTTCCCCTCCTAGGGGGTTAGATGAAGTGTGGTTCCAGGCCAGGCATCCTTTCTGCTGCATGACAGCTCACTCTTCCTGGAAGGACATCTTTCCCTGCAGGACTGATACGCGAGAACCTGTTCTCCCTCTCTCTGAGACACTACAGTCTCTCATTACTTAACACTCGTCTTCCAGTGTTTCTCTACTTACAAATGCACGGCAGGTGAGAGTATTCTCTGGAGCGGGATGCTTGGTCTCACCAGTTATGAGTCGTGGGGTCTAACTCAATTTCCTCATCTGTAAATTGGGGATAATGAGTCCCTCATCTCTCTCTATATATAGCATTCAATGAGCTATCCATATAAACCCACAAAAGCTGGCTCAAAGTAGGTTTTTACTCAGCGAATAAAAGGACACATTTTCACTGTTTCCTTGTACCTTAATAATGTAGCCTTCGGGCTTGAAAGGAACTTACACGTTGCTCACTACAACCTCCCACGCCTAGGAACCTCTGCCACATTCCTGGACAGATGCGCACCTGTAGTCTGTGGCGGCAACTTCTCACCTCTGGGATCAGCACTCCATTTCTGGCCAACACTAACTTTTGGGAAAGAGGTTGTTGCATCCTAACACAGAAACCTGGACTTTGGAGCCTGGTTTTATGATCCTCACATTGTCTCCACAACTGATAGCCCTGTCATCAAGACTTACTACAAAAAAATCTAGGGAACTTTGATATAAATCATTCCAAATTATAGTGTTCCTCAGACAAAACACTTACAGCCAACTGGAGTTTAGAGGCCAGTCATGAAAGACTTTAAACTCATTGAATCATTGCAGTCTAGACCATGGATATAAAGGACAGATAAGGCACCATGAACAACCTTTGTAGGGAAGAACATTGCTTTTGGGTCTTTCCAGCCAAGGCTAGTAACTCCAGCACTTAGTGTTATGACAAACTCTCCATACGTGGTGGAAAACGCAGATTAGCAAGTGCAAATAATGCTCTAGCTCTCCTGCGCTAAGATACGTGAGAAAAACACTGGGGCCACTACTAGGAGATGCTCAACTATTCAACACAGTAAATCTTAAATGCAGTCTACTGCATAGTGTTCATGTAGTTTCATTTGATTTCTAAGACACTTTCATAAAGCAGCACTCACTGCAGTACAGCTGGAGGCAGGGATGCTGCAGAATTATCCTAATGGCAGGAAGGCAGTGCCACACACAGTGCAGCAACTGTTCAACGACAGGAAACAGTCCCTGGCCAGGACAAAGCAGCCTACAGTACAGGAGAAGCAGAGTGTGATGTGACTACAAAGTGGAAACGCGAACGGGGGGTCAAAAGTTCAGCGGACTCAAGTCACACACAATCTAAATCGGGCGCCACTAGAAGAGGCAAATGTAATTTGCAACTCTAGATTCATTTTCTAGAATCAGTGGTAATCCTAGTTCCTAAAACAAACCAAAGGCTTTCTAATCATGAGGTCTACTGAGAGTGTATACCCGCAAAGTGCTTTCTAAACTCTTACCCATATCAGATTTTATTGCTCCCAGGGTATGAGAGGAAATATACCTTCTCAAGGACAACTAGCTCTTTGTGTAACCTCGATTCCTGAACCCTAATCTCTAAACTATTCAGTTTCTTCAAGCTGCTTTCTAGAAGATTCCATGTGTGGTTAACCGGGTATGGGGCTCTTTATCCCTCTTTGGTATGCTTGTGTCTACCTTGCTCAATGAGGGGAAGACAACCGAACTAGCTCACAGGAGAAAAGAAACAGGAGTCAAGAAAAAAAAACAACAAAATATATTTAAAAACAGACTTCTCCAGTTGGCATTTTGAATGAAATAGCTAACAATAACTCCAACCCTCTAAATTGTGTTTCTCTTGCTCCTGGAGTCCTCTTGCGGCTTTAATTCTTGAAACTCAGGCGGCAGCACCAGACATTAAATCCCCAAAGGGAGAGGTATTAGTAAACCTTTTGCTGGTCATTCTTTTCCTTATGCAAATGGACAAATTCTTAAGCCCTCTTATTCATCTCATGACGATCATTAGAAAAAAAAATTAAGTCAAAGTTGCTTATTGAAAATAAAAACAAAAACACACACAAAAACCCCTGCAGATAATAAATATCGCTGATTCGCTTATTTTAAACAAAGTCCAATTTTATTCACTCTTAATAGCCTTGCAGTCCATTGTATACCTTCTGCACTGATCCTTGCTTCAGGAGCTGTTTGATGCCTGGAGAGAGAACGAGTAAGTGACTCCATTAATGAAAACACCACTTCCCTAGAGTTTAAAGAGCATGTTTTGCAGAGGCTCACAAAAGGCCTTAACCACGGACCTAACTAAACAAATAACTCCCACTGTCCACCTGCACTGCCTGTGCACACCTCTACACATGGACACACCTGCCCATGATGGTCCTTAGTCTGTTTCTGAGACCATGAAACCCTATAAAATGAGAAAACGGGCAATCAAAAGGGCAAGAAAACTCCAGCCAAGCTTTCCATTCCTTCTGATTTGTGCTCTTTACTTGGCTTTATTTTCTCTACCATTGAGAACCGACTAGTTGGGCTCCTCTCCTCAACCAGTCATCACAGACATTCACCGCGCAATCTCTGACCCCCCGCCCCACCACATCTTCCTTCTTAGAGTCTGGTCCAGTCATCTCTCAGTCTGCTTCACTCCCATACAATCTATTACTCTCTAGTTTGTTTGTTTGTTTTTAAGAATTATATATATTTTTATTATCACTATTTTTCAGTTTAACCAGAGAAACACAGAGTGAGAGAGAGAAAAAGTGAGAAACCAAGCCACCAAGTCCAGGACTCGAACCATGGTTGGCCACATGGGAGTCCAGCACCTTTAACCTCCACGCCACCTGCCAGTCCCTCTAGGTTTTGAAGTCCGGCTTTCCTAGGCATTTGAAACACAGTAACAGAAAGATTTTCAATACTGCCTTTTCAGAGAAGGCAAGTTTGTTCCTATGCTGTGTATTTCTACTAGTGTTAATGGCTGATGTCTCATGCCACTGGAGGGTCTTACTGCCACACTGTTCGCATACGCACATGCCACACCTGCACATAGCACAGACTCGTTATACCCGTACCTTCTCGTGCTTCCTCTGTTAACTGTTCTTTTGGAAAATCCACATCAAAAGTGATTATCAAAGAGCCCTTGATGTTGTTGTTGTCAAAGTTAGGGAGACCTTCTCCTTTCTTCCATAGCTTGGCTCCTGGCCTGGTGATCTTATCCCGGGAAATATGCACCTGGAGAGCAAAAGGGAATAGAATGGAGCAGGACTGGTATTCCCAAAGTCCATCACACAGGTGCTCGCGGGCACTGGAGTACAAAGCTAATGTCACACTAGGCGAAGAACAGGTGAAGGGCAAGGGAGACATCATTAGGGTAATGCGAGTCAAAGAAATAAAAGATTTTAAAAATGCAAAAAAAAAAAAAAGTCAAACACATGTTTAAAAACAATAAGGTTTTTCCCATGGAAACACTATGAACAAGATTCCTGAAGGCTGTGCCGTTAACTCTGGGTAGCTGAAAGGCCTGTGGCACTGTTGCTGCCGGGCACTCAGCAGCCGAGCAAGGGGGAAGGCAGGAAGAGGCCGAGAGCCCCTGTGGTCCCAAGCAACTGAAGCAACAGAAATCATCTCAAAACCACCGCAAAGGGCAGGCTTGGAAAGGACATGCAGCAGGAAAATTGGTTTGTTTACCTTGTGGCCATCCAAGTGAGTAATATCCATTTCAAAGCCGACCAGAGACTCAACTAATGAGATTGTCACATTTGTGTACAAATCATCTCCTCTCCTTTCGAATATTGGATGCCTAAAAACAGTACAATGTAACTACTGTTAACTTTCACATTTCTTTGGGAATAGTTTAAAAAGTTGTTAGAAAGATCTTGGAAAAAGATAAACACCCTTCTTTGAAACAACCTGCACTTATGATATTAGGCATGTCTTTCTGTCCAGCATTCACTGAGACACAGAGTTGTGTGAGCTACTCTTAAGGAGCTTGTCATCAGCAGGAGCCAAAGTACGTAAAACTAAGTCCCTAGACTTTGGAAAAAAGAGATCACTTGTGGCAGTGGGGCTAGGCAACAGCATGGTCTGTGGAGCTTGCTGAGCTGGGCCTGCATCAGCTCTAGAGATGCAGAGAAGGTGGGGCAGGGACCAGGAGATAGGGCCAGAGGCAATTCTGCGAAGATAAGGAATTGAGAAGGTACCACCTTATTCAAGGAAGGCACAGGTACCTGTTTCTGGGAATGATGAGAAAAGCAAGGAAGGTAAGGAAAGGGCACAGAGATTCGAGAGTGCAGTGACCGACAGGTCCTCGGGCCTGCGGGTGGGGGGCATTTCTCCATATTCGGCTAGGAAGCCTGTTTCAATTAATTCTTCAGGGCAGAGGTATCACTGGTTTCCAAAGTAGCAACTAGAGAAATAATAAGAGAGCCTCAGCCCCAGGCAAAATAAGTATCTATCAGCATTCATTTTTTTAAAGCAGTTATTTCTCTCACGAGAGGGAGAATAGAAAGAGGCAGATAGACACCCTCGACAGGACCCTGTTGTGCTGCAGCCTCCTCCCCGTGCTCTCCAGCCAATCAAGATGGCCAGCACAAGTGCCCACCACGCTCAGGTCAACGCAGGACCCACACTGTGGGTCCTCCGCATGGCTTTCCCCAAGCGCTCGAGCGCTGCCTTACTGCCCACACCACCACACCCAGGCCTAGGAGACCCTTTCTACGGAAAAGCCTCCCACTCTTCTCTGGTGCTGCAGCGCCTTCGCTGGAATCTCAGCTCCTCCTGACCCCCTTTTCCTGGTCTGCTGCCCTCGTGCCACTCCTCACTTGTCCTGTCGATTCTTTCCTTCCAACATCTTTTGGATGTGGATGTCCCAAGTCAATAAGCCCTGAATCCTGGGACCCAACTCCAAATTTTCAGAATTGTTGAAGAATTACAAATATTCACTTAGGGTAGTAAAGGCATGAAACAAAGGAGCAAGCCCGGAAATGCTCTGATGGCCACCCCTCCCTCTACTCAGACTCACCTGGAAAGCAGCAGCTAAAGAGAAGGGCTCTAAGATTAGAGTACTTACTTGACAACTTTGATTCGGAACCGGAGGTCTCCAGGCTCCCCATCCACGTGAGGCTCACCTAGTCAGAGCAGATGACAGAGTACTGTAGGTCGCACAAGATGGACATCTCGGACTGACTGGGCAGTTGAGAGATTTTTCAAAAGCTGCTACCTTAGGGACTGACTGTGCCATGCCCACCTGTGCGGGCGGCATCTCTGCCTGGTCCCGTCAGGTTCCAGATTAGCGTGATCACCTGTGCCCTAGGCACAGCAATAAATAACCTGACCTGCCTCCTAAACGGAAGCGGCTCCCTGATTCCCCAAACCTCAAGTCTGGATGCCTTTTTTTCTTCTAGCATTTTAAATTTAAGGCCAAAGGGAAGGTCAGAGAGCTCCTAATTCACGCCAACTGCAGTACAGCTCTTCTTTCAGTCCCAAACTAAAATGACTACACTTAGATTCAAATTCAACCCTAAATGTTGACACAACTTTTAGCCATGAGATCCCCAGGATAAACAGTAATGTTATTTCTTCAGGTATAATTCTAAAGGTTCAAAAAACCTTTTAAAACTATAATGGACATAAAAGGTTTAATCATGCATAAAAGGTTTTCCGCATTCTAAAATTGGCTAAGGAGCTGGAAATTACACAAGCGGAAAGAGTATGGAAAAGTGGAATTAAAGTAAGAGCTTATTTTGGTGCTAAAATTTTGAAATACATTTAGTTTTTTCATAATATGCATTTTCCATGAACTTTCTGAAGGGCCCTTATATCCATTTACTAAAAATACAGGATGAAGTTCACAAGCAAGCAGAGAACACAAGTTAAAATGAAACATCAATATCAGTATTTTACCTTCTCCAATAAAGGGGTATTCCATGCCATCTCTCACCCCAGGTTCTATTTCTACCTCCAGTGTCCGTTCTTCATTCACTAGTCTGAGAAGAGAATTTTAAAAATATAGACGAAGAATCAGCGGATGCTATAGTGGTTACATCACTGGACTCCTACATGACCAAGACTCGGACTCGGAGGCTTGAAACTCATTCTGGGTACATGTGCCAAGAGGAGAACGGAAGAGAAGGACCGTGGTGTGGCCATGCCCCCCTGGGGGGTGATTTCTTGCTTCCTGTCTCTCTGGTGAGTATGCACGCCCTATAGCAAAAGGGTGAGCATGCACGCCCTATAGCAAAAGTCTCTCTCTCTCAAAAAAACATTCCAGATGAAACTCTAGGTATAGACAAATGAGGTCTCATCTATTTTCTCAGAGCTTTTCCTTGGAAGACTACAGTGCATCTCTACTTGACAAAGCTATCCAACATCCACTTACACCTTCGACATGCCAAAATGCAGGGCAAAACTACTACATATCACTTCAACATCCAAGATCGCTCTAACGGTTGGAGCAGGCAGAAAATGAAGCATTAACACTTGTTAAGTTCATTTAGAAATAAAATGGCACTGCTTATTAGTTCAGAAACATTGATGGAGATATTTAGGAGAAATACTTTAGAAAAAAATGAAAACGTACATTTCTTTGCCATATCCCTTGGTTGAACATGGTTTGGGGAGAGGAGGAAGGAAGATCTGGGTATGGACCATCTACATTTTTTTTTTTTTTGGAGAGATTTTCACTGTAGGGTGCGTGCGCTCGCCAGACAGACAGAGAGACTGGAAAGCAGCAGCTAAAGAGAAGGGCTCTAAGATTAGAGTACTTACTTGACAACTTTGATTCGGAACCGGAGGTCTCCAGGCTCCCCATCCACGTGAGGCTCACCTAGTCAGAGCAGATGACAGAGTACTGTAGGTCGCACAAGATGGACATCTCGGACTGACTGGGCAGTTGAGAGATTTTTCAAAAGCTGCTACCTTAGGGACTGACTGTGCCATGCCCACCTGTGCGGGCGGCATCTCTGCCTGGTCCCGTCAGGTTCCAGATTAGCGTGATCACCTGTGCCCTAGGCACAGCAATAAATAACCTGACCTGCCTCCTAAACGGAAGCGGCTCCCTGATTCCCCAAACCTCAAGTCTGGATGCCTTTTTTTCTTCTAGCATTTTAAATTTAAGGCCAAAGGGAAGGTCAGAGAGCTCCTAATTCACGCCAACTGCAGTACAGCTCTTCTTTCAGTCCCAAACTAAAATGACTACACTTAGATTCAAATTCAACCCTAAATGTTGACACAACTTTTAGCCATGAGATCCCCAGGATAAACAGTAATGTTATTTCTTCAGGTATAATTCTAAAGGTTCAAAAAACCTTTTAAAACTATAATGGACATAAAAGGTTTAATCATGCATAAAAGGTTTTCCGCATTCTAAAATTGGCTAAGGAGCTGGAAATTACACAAGCGGAAAGAGTATGGAAAAGTGGAATTAAAGTAAGAGCTTATTTTGGTGCTAAAATTTTGAAATACATTTAGTTTTTTCATAATATGCATTTTCCATGAACTTTCTGAAGGGCCCTTATATCCATTTACTAAAAATACAGGATGAAGTTCACAAGCAAGCAGAGAACACAAGTTAAAATGAAACATCAATATCAGTATTTTACCTTCTCCAATAAAGGGGTATTCCATGCCATCTCTCACCCCAGGTTCTATTTCTACCTCCAGTGTCCGTTCTTCATTCACTAGTCTGAGAAGAGAATTTTAAAAATATAGACGAAGAATCAGCGGATGCTATAGTGGTTACATCACTGGACTCCTACATGACCAAGACTCGGACTCGGAGGCTTGAAACTCATTCTGGGTACATGTGCCAAGAGGAGAACGGAAGAGAAGGACCGTGGTGTGGCCATGCCCCCCTGGGGGGTGATTTCTTGCTTCCTGTCTCTCTGGTGAGTATGCACGCCCTATAGCAAAAGGGTGAGCATGCACGCCCTATAGCAAAAGTCTCTCTCTCTCAAAAAAACATTCCAGATGAAACTCTAGGTATAGACAAATGAGGTCTCATCTATTTTCTCAGAGCTTTTCCTTGGAAGACTACAGTGCATCTCTACTTGACAAAGCTATCCAACATCCACTTACACCTTCGACATGCCAAAATGCAGGGCAAAACTACTACATATCACTTCAACATCCAAGATCGCTCTAACGGTTGGAGCAGGCAGAAAATGAAGCATTAACACTTGTTAAGTTCATTTAGAAATAAAATGGCACTGCTTATTAGTTCAGAAACATTGATGGAGATATTTAGGAGAAATACTTTAGAAAAAAATGAAAACGTACATTTCTTTGCCATATCCCTTGGTTGAACATGGTTTGGGGAGAGGAGGAAGGAAGATCTGGGTATGGACCATCTACATTTTTTTTTTTTTTGGAGAGATTTTCACTGTAGGGTGCGTGCGCTCGCCAGACAGACAGAGAGAGACATAGAGACAGAAAGCGAGAAATCACCCCCCAGGGGGGATGGTCACGCCGCAATCCCTTCTCCTCCATTCTCCTCTCGGGATCTTGGGCATGCACGCACACGCGCCCGGCGTGAGTTTTAAGCCACCGGGTCCGGGACATGAACTGCGGTCGACTACGTGGGAGTCCAGCAACATAGCCATTATGCTAACTGCTGGTTCCCAGGACCCTCTACATTTTAAAGTGTCTCTTGGTAGAAAGAAGGAGCCTTGGCTTACTTGACGTTGGGGCACTCATCGCAGACCACCTCCTGCGTCATCTGGAAGCGGCCTGGGCCCAGCTGGGTGGTCCGCATCTCTTGCCGACAATTGCATTTCCTTTTGCCAGGAGCCTGCCTTGCCACAGGTTTGTTTCGAACGACCTAAGAGATGCATAAACAACATCAGCTTCTCTCTTACGTAAAACGGTGTGTAGTGCCCTCGACTCCCAGGACTCTGGAAGCATTCCTAGACTGGAACTTTCTCTTTGGCAAGCTAACCCTTAGGGAAACCTAATTCCTCCAAACTCTGCTTAGGGGTACAAATATTCCCCTAAACACGAACAAGCAGACGCACAGTTAAGTGGCTCAGATTTATGTATTTTTTCTTTATTCATGATAGGGCATGTGCTGTGTACATGGGAAAAACAGACACATAGTTAAATGACACAAGCTTATATATGTACACACACATATACATATACATGCGTGTGTATATATTTCTTTACTCGTGATAGAGCACGTGCTTGTGTACATGGGAAAGACAGAGAGAAAGGAGCACCCTCTGCAGGTCTGACCACTGCAATCCCCTTCATCCAGTCCCCCGGCCCATCGGATCTTGTGTGGGCATTTGTGCACGTTCCCAGCACACCAGCACACTTCAGGCTGACTGGGCAGGGCACCCCAACCACAGTCACAACGTGGGCTCTAGTTTCTCTTGAGCCGTGCTTTACTGCTGCGCCGTGGGGCTGGCCCAAATGACTCAACTTTGAAAGTTAGAGAAGTAAAGAGAGAAAAGCAAGGTCTATGACAGCAACATTTGTAAGCTACACCTAAATGCTACTGAGGTCGAGTAGTTAAAATTGCGATCTTTTAAGAAATCTGAGCTATGTAAAACAGTCCCTAAAGAACAAACACAGTCTTCAAAAACTGGTATGTGGCTACCTTCAGTGAACCTAATGAAACATCTCCTTGTTACAGGCAACCCAATCCAGGACTATTTTTCTACGCTCTCTCTATTCTGATACTTTTCCACATAGACAATGACCAATTCTTTGTAGTTGATTATAATCAAACATTCAGATCCCTTTAAGTATATGAAAATACACAGGAAGAAATGTATTCCTGTTTCTTCTGTTTAATTAGTCAAACACCTAACCACAAGGTATGTCCTCATGTAACAGAGTGAAAAAAATGCTTCGAGAAATATCCTTCAGACGCTACCAATGTATGAAAATCGAGGTCAACGGAGTAAACTACAGCAATGACAATAATGGTAATGAGAGCAAATTTTTATAGCACTAACTACAAGTTTTACATATTCATTTAATCTCCGCCACAAGGTTATAAGATGGGTAATGTCGTTATCTTACCTTTACAAATGAGGTAATGGAAGCACAGGAACGTTAAGGAACTTGACCAAGGTCTGTAACTAATACATGGTAGTGCCAGGATTCTAAACCGGGTAGCCTAGCTGCAAAGTCTATGGTTCTAACCATTGTACTATCTTACTTCTCAAAGTAATTTAAAAAAAAAGATTATACAATGGGGGCATTTAAATCCTTTATTATAAAATAATCATAATAAAATAATTTGTTTAGGAACACACTACCAAAAGTCAAATAAAAAGCATATTAGTGATGGCTAGAGAACTACAGATTTGGAAGAAAATGTGGGAGGTGGGGCCAACAGATGGTATTAATAGTTATGTTACTGGACTCCCATGTAGTCAACGGCAATGTGAGCCCCAGACCTGGTGGCTTAAAACTCATGCTGGGCATGTGTGCATTCATGCCCAAAATCCCAAGAGGAGAAGGAACTATGGTGTGGTCAAGACAGGTGGAGGGTGATTTCTTGCTTTCTGTCTCTCCAGTGAACGCATGTGTCCTATAGCAAAAACTCTTAAAAGAAAAAAGAAAATGTGGGAGTTAATCAGGCTCACCTTCCTACCACCTAAACAACCTTTCCTCTTTATATAAAGAAGAAATGGCCGGGAATAGCAGTTAGCGTAATGGCTGTGTGACTGGACTCCCATGTAGTCGACCATGGTTTGAGTCCCGGACCTGGCGGCTTAAACTCATGCTGGGCGCGTGTGCGTGCGTGCCCAAGATCCCGAGAGGAGAAGGGATTGTGGTGTGGCCATTCTCCCCTGGGGGGTGATTTCTCACTTCCTGTCTCTCTGTCTCCCTGGAGAGCACACACACCCTATAGCAAAAACCTCCCCCCAAAAAGAAAAAAAAAGAAGAAATGGCCAAAATGTTCATGTCCTTTTTTCCTATCCTACAGCCTGAACAACAATATTACAAGCCAGTCACATCTGAGACTGTCTAGTTCTCTACTTTCAACCTTTCACAGCAAAATCCACAAGTAAGAAAAAAGTGCTTCAGGTCAAGATAGCATATATGCATAAGTTATTGGGTATCCCCTTTAAAGTCCTGGGAAAAACTACAGAACACCATGAAATCTATGAAAACTATAACTGGCACACAGAATTGAGGAGAAAATCCTGGAGACAGAAGGCTGTTTTGAACTGGTTATATGTGTAGGATAGTGGCTACACCCTAGGGCAACAGTAGCAGTGAGAAGATGTTACAAAATGTTGACCAGTCATGGCGGCTCAGCAGTAACGATGCTCTGTGAAGCTGAAACCACATGGAAGGCCCCAGGTTCGTGTCTTGGGGTCTCCCGTACATACCAGGATATGTGCATGTGCCCGAGACCCTGGTTGGGTGAGGCTAAGGGAGGTTTACAGCATGAGGACCCTGTTGAGGGCAACTGTCTCTCTCGCTTTCTCTCATGGAAAGAATAAGTAAACTTAAATACATTACGAGAAAACAAGCAAATAAAACAGAGTCAAAACCACTGAGCAGAGGCTCACCCCAGGATGCTCTACAGAGAAAGACAGTTGCCAACACCCGTAAGAGAGTATAAGTGTACAGGCCAAAACTAGCTAGACATCTGAGGAGCACAATTACCCATCATGCAAAAGACAACAAAAGGACAACACATATATTTTACCCAAACCTATCAGAGCAGACAGACAGAGAATTTAAAGCCAGCATGGTGATACTTAGGAAGCTAAGAAAGACACTGGCAAAATGAAATAAAGAATAACACAAAGTCAAATAGTAATATGTAAAAATATGATCTGAAATCAAAACAAAGCATGGAATAGTATCAGAACAGACACGGCTGAAGAGTGAACGGGAGCTGGAGGTGCACAGCAAGGTGCACTCCCAGGAGGAGGCAGTGAAGGGTAGACAGCAACTGTGTTTCACATGGAAAAGGAAGGAAAGTGCATATATAAGTAAAAATGACAAGGAAAAGATTAAATATTTGGGAAAAAATGAAGATAAACTTTCCAGAATTAAAAAAAAGTTGAACCTCAAATTAGAGGATTCCAAAGTTTTAGTAGAAAATATATGTGAACAGCACTCTCATTTTCGAGCATAGAAAAGTTTCTTAAACAAGACACAAAACCAACTGTAAAAGACTCACAGATTTGCACACTAAAATTGGTTACTTTAGTTCACTGAAGTAAATCTTAAGCAAAAAGACAAGTTACAAACTAACAGAATATATTTTGATTATATACAGTGAACAAAGGATTAGTAGAAAGAGTAAAGTACCCTTAGAAACCAGTAAAAGGGCCAAAAAAAAAGAGGGTGAAAGATATAAATAGGCATTTCTCCAGATCGGAAATAAATATGGCCAACAACATAGAGAAATGCTTATTTCAATTACTGAGTTGTCGGAAAAAAAAAACGTATTTTTCTGTTTTTCTTTGGAAAAATGCATGATGACATTTCCAATGACCCAATAGTAATCAAGAAAATGCAAATTAAGACCCAAAGGAGATAACATCTTATATCCATTTAATGGACAAAAATTAGTAAGTTTAATAGTTCAAAGTTTTAGAGAGATACCAAATCTATAGGCTCTCTTAAAAATCACTGGTAGAAGTAATGGTACAATCAACTTCTAAAACAAGATGGTATTAGCTAATAAAAGTGACTATTGATTCATATTACCCAGCAATTCCAATGCTATACATATCCACTCAAGAGATATTCTTGCTCATGTGTACCTGAATATATGTACAAGAATGTTCATAAAAGCACTGTTCAGAACTGAAAAACAAACAAACGAAAAGACAGAATAAACCTAAATGCTTACTGTTAAGTGGTGGTCACAATGAAGTTCTATCCAGCAGAATTAGAGCTGAATAAGCAACAAGGATGAATCGTGGGGACCAGCAGTTAGCGTAATGGCTATGTTGCTAAACTCCCATGTAGATGACCACAGATCAAGTCCCGGACCGGTGGCTTAAACTCAGGCCGGGCGTGTGTGTGTGCATGCCCAAGATCCTGAGAGGAGAATGGAGGAGAAGGGATTGTGGTGTGGCCATCCCCCCTGGGGGGTGATTTCTTGCTTTGTGTCTCTCTGTCTCTGTCTTTCTGGCGAGTGCACGTGCCCTATTAAAAAAAAAAAAAAAAAGGATGAATTGTAGTAACATTAACAGTGAGTGAGAAAAGCCAGCACCAGGAAACAATGAATGAAACACCCTTTCAACAATGACAAGTTCAATGAAAAAAACAACATATTACTCAGGCACTCATGTATATGGAATAGACAAAAGTGGCAAAGGAATAATAAAGACAAATTCGGAAGTGGAGTTGCCTCTGAAAGAAGGCAGGGGAATGGAGTAGGGAAGTAGCATGCAGTGGATTAAGCCATGGTACAGTAGTTTCATTTATGAATAGTTCTTAGACTGGTGCTGAATTTATGAAACAATGACAACAGTGTTTGATGAACCAAGGATTAAGATTAATTCGATTCTGTGCATCTGGTCACTCTCTCACCCTCTAAAAGACAGAGGAGATACACGGAAGCTTCTTATTGTTAGTCCCAAGTGTAAGCTCTGGGAAATCAGTATGAACACTTATATTGTTTGAACTTACTTCCACAAAATTTCCTGCATACACTTCTTCCAAAGTGACTTCTAGATCTACAATGATATCACTTCCTCTTGGAATATTTCTGTCTTGCTGGCGAGGGGTTCCTCCAAACATAAAACCAAAATCTCCAAAGAAGCTGTAGATAAGTGTAAAATCATCAGGAAAAGAAATTAGAGCTCATGGCTTGCAATGATTTAGTTATCTTCATACCGATAAAATAATGCTCCCTGCCACTGCATTGCACAGAACTGAAAGGCGTTTTTAAATGCATGGAGTGGTAATGCAGACAAAATTTTTAATTTACACACTATAAACTATATTGCTCCCACCACAAAAAAATTTTACTTTTTCTTACGCTATGACCCATACACATAGTCAGTTAATGAATTCAACACTGGATTCAACCAATCAAATAATAATGTTCCAATATTTTGGAAAATCCTAACATGGTGGACTTACTGAGAAAGGGTCTGGAATACATAACCTCACGATGAGGTTATGATCTTCATGGTTAATTTAAGGAACTTTTAAGGTCAATTTTAATATTAGTGCTTACTTTATGTGATCTTTAGAAGCTAACCCTGATGAAAGAAACCATATTGCTCTATACAAAAATCTTGGACACTTAATTAAACAAACTAAAAAAGCATTAGCCTTAGGAAAATATCTGTCCTTAGGGAAAGGAAGTACCAGCCTCTTTAACAATAAAACAAACTTTTCTTCTTTCTTTTTTAAGAGAGGGCCTCGCTGTCACAGTCCTGCTAGTAGCTGGGATGCGGGCGCGTGGCCACGGCTGCTCTCTCACGTGCTCTTGCTGTTCCTCATGCCGGCCCTGAGCTTGTGGTCCTTTTGCCTCAGCCTCCTGCGCAGCTGGGATTACAGGTACAATCACCACACTCAGCTTTTAGGGTGCTCTGGAAATGAACCTGGGTCTCCCATACGGCTTCAGTCTGCTGAGTAGTGGCACCTACCAGTGCATACTACTGTGGCTGAGCCACAAATTAATTGTTGTTAAGTAACAAAAGCATCATTCTAAGATTAAAAAAGCAGTGACCTCCAATTGTACAGGTTTTCTAATCTCAATGTTTCCGGTGTCATTAAGGAGCCTTAGATATTAGTGCAATGATGACAATAACAACTATGCAACTCTCCTTCCCAACCAATCTTGGTGAATGAATTCCCCAAATCTTAAATAAATGCAAGGAGACAGGAAAAGGGTGGAGGGGAGGGCAAGCCTTTTCTCTTTCCAGCAACCCTAGCATCACTCTGAACAAGCAGGGAACAGGACACTTCCCTAGTACTCTAACACAGGGATATTAGTTCTGGGAAAAGAAAGCTATCCTAGTCATATACTCACATATCTTGACCAAGTACTGAAAAATCTAGTCATACCAAAACAGTAAATGGAGGAAGCTGTTCTATGCCACAATGATGTTGAACTTCTTTTGGGAAAAGGTTCACAGAGCCTTTCAAGAACCTGAAGAAGGCAATGAACTTTCTCCCCATAAAAACGCAGCTTCAGTTATCTTTTTGTTTATAATTTCAGATCCAGAACCCCAGATTAAGGTCTCCTAGAACATAACATCATCAGTACATACGAAATTCAAATGCTCAAGAGGGGTTCGAAAAGCGAGCAGGAAGGTGTCTGCTACTCCAGCCACTGAACTCCCAGAAAGTCACGTGTAGCAGGAGACAAAGCAGTCTCTCCCCTAGCTCTCACCCCAGTGCTGGTTATCACGGCCATCCCTCTCTTGTTACAGGACGAAGGAGAGGCAGCTCTAGGTATGAGTAGGAATGTTTCTCTCTGCTTATAACGATGATATTGTTCATTAAATGGTTTGCAGATTCCAAGACTGCAAGTAAGATGGTTTCCAACATACAACTCCCCAAAAAGTGTCAGGCTAATTGCTGTGGTTGGCTAGATGGATGGCCTTTTCACTATCGTCTTTCCTAAAGCTTTGAGAAAACAGAAGACCTCTTTGCCACAGTGGGGGAATGATAATTGACCTTTCAGTCAAGATGAGCTGTCCTCTTCATCAAAAGCTTCTGAACCAGGAGGCGAGAATAAATCTTCCGAAATCACTGCAGGGTCCATTTGTAGAAACTAATACTTGGCAGATGGGAAAATTACTTACTGTGAAAAAATGTCTCCATGGGAGCTCTGGTGACCATCTTTTAATCCTTCTTCACCATAAGTATCATATTGTTTCCGCTTCTCACTATCTGACAGAACCTGGGGATAAAGGCCAATGAAAGGAAAGATCCCAAGTTGGACAGTTAAAGTACTTGTTTATTTAGGGGTGTGTGTGTGTGCACTGTGTAGCTTTAGACAGGGTCTTGCTGCAGTGGGACCCCCTGCTCCAGCCTCTTGAGTAGCTAGCTGGGACTATAGGCCTATACCGTCAGGGTGGGCCAAGCATTGAACTTGGGCCTCCCATGTGGCCTCAGCCCGCCAGACAGCAGTGTCCAGCATGCACTACTGTCACTGGATCATTTGTTTCTGTTTTTTTTCACTCTGAAACTGTGTCTAATGCTTTAGGAAATGTTGTTTTCAATATATCTAGTATTAACACATTTATAAAATTATTTTCTCTAACCAAGTCTTAGATGCATTGTCTATTTCATATTGTTCAATTCATGTTTTTAATGTGAAGTTCTCAAACCTCACCTACTCGCTTAAAATCATATCTGAGATTAGGGATGTGGCTGTGACCATCGGGGTAGTACAGAAAAGAGGTGACGGAGTCCTCAGATTTTCCTTCCATTTAGTCTGACTCCAGTGCTTCTACCACCATGCTACATCTCTCTAAACTGTAAACGAGGGTGTGACCAAGACAGACTGTAATCAGTGATAGGGGCAGTAAACTGGGACAGTCTTAGAAATGGCCAGGCCAGAGGCAGAAGGTGGCCTGGCAGGTAAGGCGCTGGACTCCCACACGCCCAGACCCAACAGCCTGAAACTCATGCTGGGCGCATGTGCACATGTGCCCAAAATCCTAAGAGAAGAATGGTAGAAAAAAGACTGTGGTGTGATTATCCCTCTTGGGGAGTGATTTCTCTCTCTGTTTCTACAGCAAGTGCACATGCCCTATGGCAAAAAAACTCTTTTTAAAATTCATTCATTCTTTTTTTTTTTTTTTTAATTTGACCAGAGCGAGAGAGATAGGTAGACAGAGAGAGGGGGAAACGAGACAGCAAGCCACCAGGTCCAGGATTCAAACTGTGATCAGCCATGTGGGAGTGTCCGGCATCTTAATCACCACACCATCTGCCGGAACTGCAAAAAATCTCTTAAAACAAACAAACAAACAAACAAACAAAAACAGCTGGGCCACATGTTCACACCACATTTATCCCCACCTACACACATATTATTAGAAGACTGGCAAGTCAAGGGATTCAGATGACAAGCCACCCAGAACAGTCTCAACTGCACTATTTTCATAATCCTGTTTTCGCCTTTTGGTATATGTAAAAACCATTCATGAAAGGATTCATATACATGCTTAAGGGTGTAACATCCTGAGTTTGAACTGTAGGAAGAACAAAGGACATTGCTTTATGAAGGTTGTTCAAGGTCAATTTCATTGCTTGGAAAGAATTTCTGAAATGTTAATAGTTTGAGAAATTATATACACTCACGGCTATATGCTTTCTCATTAGGCCCACTCCCTATATGGTAATAAAGAATGTAAAAGCAAAATAAGCTCCTATACTCTTCAAAATTAGCCTTGAACATACAAAAGAAAAAAAAATCTTCCTTTTTAGATCAGTCTGAAGCATATGCATACATTTTATACCCTTGAAAATGAAATAGTTTCAAAATCTTCCTTTGATATTTATTAACTCCTACTTAGACAAGAGACTGAAGGGAAAGTTACTGAGAGCCCATATTCATGGTGGCCCAGGAAGAGAGGTTGGAAGTAGAGGGGGCTCATGGACTTAGCAAAAGAAAGCAAGCCCCGGGGTCAGAAGGTGTCATAGAGGTTTAGACTGCGGGATCCCGCGTGGCTGCCTGAGTGTTTTGAGTTCTAGACCCAGCAGCTTGAAAATCACACTGGAGTGTGTATGTATACGTGCCCAAAATCCTGAGAAGAGAATGGAAGAGAAGTAACTGCGGTGCAGTCCTCCCCCTAGAGGTTGATTCTCTCTCTCTCTCTCTTTCTCCATCTCTCTGGCAAGGGCGTGCACATTGCAGCAAACGAACAAAGAGATGAAAGCAAGCCAACTGTCATATTCACATACTTTTGGCTCAGGGACTGAATGAAGTGTAAGAAGTCGAGGCAAAATTTTATTAACATTTAAGATATATTTAGAAAACTGGGAACCAGCAGTTAGCGTAATGGCTATGTCGTTGGATTCCCACGTAGTCGACCGCGGTTCCCATCCCAGACCCGGTGGCTTAGAACTCACGCCAGGCGCATGTGCGTGTGTGCCCAAGATCCCTAGAGGAGAATGGAGGAGAAGGGATTGCGGTGTGACCACCCCCCCCCGGGGGGTGATTTCTCGCTTTCTGTCTCTATGTCTCTGTCTGTCTGTCTGTCGAGCGCACGTGCCCTATAGCGAAAACCTCTCAAAAAAAAAAAAAAAGAGATATATTTAGAAAACGAAATAAAAATGGAGTGTACGAGAGAGTGAGCATATTTAAAAGCAAAGACAAATGGATTCATCCAGAAGTGGCCATGACACTTGATTAAAGCCCCTTTGTTAGACCAGGAAGGTTTTGGCAAATGTCTAGTGACAATTGGTACTCTAGGGAAACAGAAATGGGCAGTGAACTTAAAAAACCCAAAACAAAAACAGCTCTTATTATAGAATCAGAATTTCCAGTGTTTTCACTTTCTAGTCTACTTCCGTGTTTCTGTCTTGGCAAAGAAATAAATCCTGCATTTGGATTTAAGAAGGCACTATTTCAAAACCTCAAAACAAATATTAGTTTTGAGTCAGCTTCTTCTGGACATCAGAGGTTTCTGTAATAACTTCTCAAACACTATCCTCGAAGCCATCTACTATCATTCACTTCCTCCTTACTTTTCATCTAAGAAATGCAGTTTAATCCCATGGTCTTTAAAATAATTTTATTTTTAAAAGAATAAAAGTTTCTTAGTTGACTGGCCAACCAGAATGCAGATTCTCAACTAATCAAAATACGGGTAGTGAGACCAGCAATTAGCATAATGGCTATGTCACTGGACTCCCATGTAGTCAACTGCAGTTCAAATCCCGGACCTGGTGGCTTAAACTCACGCCAGGTGCATGTGCATGCATGCCTAAGATCCCAAGAGGAGAAGGGAGAAGGGATTGTGGCATGGCCATCCCCCCCCGGGGGGGTGATTTCTTGTTTTCTGTCTCTGTCTTTCTGGTGAGTGCATGCCCCACAGCAAAAACCTCTCAAAAATATAAAAATATCTAGATTTTGAACTCTTAAATGTTAAATGATCTAGCAACACAGTGTTTCCATTTGTATATGGCAAAAACTGGCTGGAGTTGAGTAACAAATGTTCTCTTGAAACTGGGCAAAGCTTCAGTTTGTGGCAGTCCTCATGAATTTCTATTGCTTTCCAATATGGGGGCCGAATATCTACTGTCACGCTCTCCCTCACACCTGCCCTGCATGTTATCTGTCCGGTCCACGTGGGCATTCAGGTTTGCAACGCTCCTTTAGGTTTTACTCTTATCTCTGGCTGTAGCTCCCAAACTGATCGATTGGCCTACTTATAAATCTATTGATCTTACTTTTCTCTCACTCATTCTTTTTCAATATTACTCTCTTTATTGAATCAAACATCAGTATAAAAAAGGCAGGAAATGGCACCCACCAACATGAAAGAAAGATCTAGTATGAAATAGTACCATTCTTACTTTGATCTTCATCTACTTTTAAATAGAAATGACCTGAAGACAAGGAGTATGTCTCTATTTCTTTTCTACATCCATAGGTTTATTCATATTTTACCCTTTTTCCTGCCTCACCTCATAAGCAGCACCTAGGTCCTGGAATTTCTCCTGGGCTCGTGGATCATCCGGGTTCCGGTCAGGATGGAGCTGCAGGGCTAGTTTCCTGTAGGCCTTTTTAATATCTTTTATAGAGGCACTGCGAGGCACCCCCAAGATTTTATAGAAATCTCGCCTGGAAAAAAAGGAGAGAGAATACTTCACTGAAGAACTACCTATCACATTTTAAAGCAGAAGCTTCTTTCTCCCCCTTTACATTTAGGTTTGTCTCAGTGAAGAGATAACAAAAATAAAGATCGACACACACATACAAAGAATGACTAAAGAGAGAACACATCCGAATTTGTGACGAGTCTTATAACTGAAGTAATCACAGTGAAAGGGTATCTACTTTTTGGGCAATGCTAGATTATTCAAACAATTTGTGGTATTCTTCTTTCAGAGCTATCTTAGGAAAACTTTTTTCTTATTTTATTTTTGGGTAAAAACCATATAATCTAACTCTCCCATTTTTCTCTCATACTATCTCAAAAGTTACATTTTATTGTTTCCAAATGTCACATAATACCTCAAAGGATGATTTTTTAAATTCAGAATGTCCTAAGAGTAACATTGTTGGAATACTAAAGATGAAGTGACTGACATTAACTTCAGAGATGAAGAGAGGTTAAGCCACAACCCAAATAACAACTCCAAAGAGAAAATAACATCCATCAGGATCTATGCGTTATGGTGTTCTGTCGTAAAAGAGAAAAAATACCAAGCTTGCATTCAGGCCTAGTTATATTAGTTTGTGTAGGTCAAGCCTTCACTAGAGGCAGCTGCAAAGGCCATATGCTAAAGTCTTAGCAGCTAGGAATATGCATATAGTATGAGGCAAGACACAATCCACTGGCCACCTTGCCAGGCACTATTCTGAAATCAGAGTAATTGGAAAGGTGAGCCTTGCAAGAAGGGGTAATGGGAGGACAGAAAAGACTACATGTAACCACCGTCAGGCAGAACTCATATTGGGCTCTTTACTCTGAACATGCAGTCTCTCAACCATGAGGATGGGAAAGCTACCCTCATAGAAACACTGAATTAGTTGTGATGGTAATATAAAAAAATGCATGGGGAAAAGTGCATTGAGGTACCAAGATCCAGGTGATATATAACAGAATTTTAAAAAATCATGTCATAAGCTCTTCATCGCTTAAGAAAAACACCATTTAATTATTTAATGTATGAGTTTTTACAAGTATCCCCCACAAAAGGTTCCAGGATTAACCAGGGCTTTCTTCTTCCAGCAAAACCTATGAAATCTTGATATCTCTTGAGAACAAAATAATCAAAATCATTAATACAATTAGTAAGAAGAGGATAACTGTGTAAAGAGTAAGATTTACTTAGAATATGCTTCATATAAAATGATTAAACAGCACAGAAAAATGCAGGAAAAAGATATTGGCATAGTTTAGCACCAACAGTACACTTCCTACCAGATTCCTTTAGGATAACTGAAGTTGAAAGTCACAGTACTAACAATATTCATATTGATATTTTATGAAACATCTATAGGTATTTGTTACTTTATAGGTAACAATTACTAATAAAAAAATAAAGCATTAGGGACCAGCAGTTAGCGTAACGACTATGTCACTGAACTCCCATGTGGCCGACTGCGGTTCGAATCCCAGACACAGTGGCTTAAATTCCTGCCAGGCGCATGTGCATGTGTGCCCAAGATCCTGAGAGGAGAATGAAGAAGGGACTGCGGTGTGGCCATCCCCCCTGGGGGATGATTTCTCGCTTTCTATCTCTCTGTCTGTCTCTGTCTTTCTGGCGAGTGCACGTGCCCTATAGGCAAAACCTCTCACAGAAAAAAAAAAAAAAAAAAAAAAGCAACATCTAAGGCTCTTTACTCTGAACATGCAGTCTCTCAACCATGAGGATGGGAAAGCTACCCTCATAGAAACACTGAATTAGTTGTGATGGTAATATAAAAAAATGCATGGGGAAAAGTGCATTGAGGTACCAAGATCCAGGTGATATATAACAGAATTTTAAAAAATCATGTCATAAGCTCTTCATCGCTTAAGAAAAACACCATTTAATTATTTAATGTATGAGTTTTTACAAGTATCCCCCACAAAAGGTTCCAGGATTAACCAGGGCTTTCTTCTTCCAGCAAAACCTATGAAATCTTGATATCTCTTGAGAACAAAATAATCAAAATCATTAATACAATTAGTAAGAAGAGGATAACTGTGTAAAGAGTAAGATTTACTTAGAATATGCTTCATATAAAATGATTAAACAGCACAGAAAAATGCAGGAAAAAGATATTGGCATAGTTTAGCACCAACAGTACACTTCCTACCAGATTCCTTTAGGATAACTGAAGTTGAAAGTCACAGTACTAACAATATTCATATTGATATTTTATGAAACATCTATAGGTATTTGTTACTTTATAGGTAACAATTACTAATAAAAAAATAAAGCATTAGGGACCAGCAGTTAGCGTAACGACTATGTCACTGAACTCCCATGTGGCCGACTGCGGTTCGAATCCCAGACACAGTGGCTTAAATTCCTGCCAGGCGCATGTGCATGTGTGCCCAAGATCCTGAGAGGAGAATGAAGAAGGGACTGCGGTGTGGCCATCCCCCCTGGGGGATGATTTCTCGCTTTCTATCTCTCTGTCTGTCTCTGTCTTTCTGGCGAGTGCACGTGCCCTATAGGCAAAACCTCTCACAGAAAAAAAAAAAAAAAAAAAAAGCATCATCTAGGAAAGTTAACTTTGTAGTAATTTAAGATGTTTCACAAGGAAAAAAAAAACCCCAAAATTTAAGTATATATGCACAGAAGCACTTAAATTTCAAAACTCTGATAATCAATACCTAACCGACTTAAAACCTATAAAAAAGCTAAAACAACCTATGTCAAAAGCTAAGACCTTCTACCCCTTGCCTTCTAAAATAGGAGCCGGACATACCATATCCTGGGACACCAGGCTTTATAGGATTATGGACCTGAAAAGCTGGATGGATCCCTGAGCTCCTCTATTCCTCGTTCCGGTACAAGGGTGGCACATTATTATCCTGATGTTCCACATGAGAACTGACATGGTTCCTTCAAGGTTACATAATTCATAAGTGGGGGGAGCCTGTGGGCTAGAGCTCAGTTTACTACCTGTTGGTAAACTGCTCTTCCAGCTCATAATACCATTCAGCTGGTCAAGAATGTACCACAGAGACACAGTGAGGGATGATGACAGCCTGGGCCCAAGAGTTCAAGAAGCAGGAAGTGGGGCCAGCAAGTGGCATGGTGGTTGGGATGCTGGACTTCCACATGGCTGGCCTCAGTTGGACCTGGCAGCTTGCTTTCTCCCTTTCCCTCTCTGTCTCTTTCTGGTGAGTGCACATACCCTATAGAAAAGTTAAAAAGTAATAACAAACAAAATTAAATAAGTATTCTTTTTTTAAAAATGCATATATATAAAGAAAGAAAAAGTGGGAGGTACAAGGGCCCTCCAAGGGTCTTCCTGCTCAGTCCAATTTCCTTCAGTCTCAGCATGGTTCTCCTACCTGCTCTCCCCACTGAGTCTCGCATGACAACCTACCCACTTTAATGTCATCCCCCAGTAGGTCGCCAGCT